TTAACCTTTTAGATACCTATGTTTTGTGCTAGCCTAGTCCTATTATCATCCTTCTTCTTTGCTTTGCCCGTCCACTTGGGCCTAGAAGAAGATGGTATAGACTAGGTTAGATTGAGAGGAACGCCCAAACTCTTGATTATCCTTTCATCTGTTACCAATTCTATAAGAATATTAGCGAGTGTGAACTCAAACTGATTCCTTATTTACTTCACTCTAATAGAGTCGAACGAGTTTGGTAATAAGACAATAATCATGTCAACTTGAAACTTACCACCCAAGTCAGCCCTATTGATCTCCAGCTAATTTTAAATAATAAACAATCATTTTCCAAAATTCGATTTCATACTGGAATTCCTTAGGCTATCTTGATGCTATTCAAGTCTGATATAGTACTTTAGCATAGTCTCTATCTAATCTCACCAAAACATCTTATTGCCATTTAACATGATGCTTGAAGAAAATAAAATAATGTAAATGTTAGCTTTGGAGCGTATTCGAAGTAAACTCTAAGAATATTGCACCAATTCATCTCATTTGCCTTATTTCACTTATTCAAAGCATTAATGTTCTCTTGGGTATCTTAAAGTAAAAGGATTAGGTTTTAGGAGTAGTAAATACATTTGTACCACCACGTTGTGAATAAAATATCTAAATTCATTTTCTAGTAATTATAAATGAAGTCCACATACATTGAAATTAGCAAGCAGATAAAATGGATTAGACATAATTAGTCTGAATATAATTGCATTCATACAATATGCAAGGTGAATTATTAATACTGTCATGCATATTTAAAATTAAAATGAGTTTGTTTACCATATAATATAATAAATCTTAATCGAACAAGAGATCATTATCATTATTGGTGAACAATCCCTTTTAATTAATGTGGGTCCCTCAACTCTGTAGCATAATAAATCAATTAATCAATATGTCAATAACTTATCCTGTTGGAGGAGTTCATTATTACTATTGTAGAGATTCATTTGCTATTAGGTGAGAACTTCCATTAAAATAATATGTGGGTCCCTTAACCACTGCATGAAAAATCGGATAACCAATACACCAATAACTTATTCGGTTGGCGAAGTTCATTATTGTTATTGGCGGGCAAATCCCATCATCTCCATATTTCTTAAGACAATGTCTTGTCTATCTATATGAAATGATTCCCGATTATGTTTAGCCTTTCTAAAATCACTTAGTGTAGACCACTCCGTTGGGGAGCTAACACTATTGATTTTAGATTGAGTGTATAACGTTATTAAAGCTCTAATGAAAAATAAAATATTAAATATCTTGTCATTATAATCTAAACTCTTTAAATCATGCGTAGGGCCTTATTTTTAAAGATTTAATTACAATGAACATTTAATATTATTATTTTCATAAGATAACCATTCTTGTAATATTAAGACTCTTCAAATCATGCGTGGGGCCTTATTTTTGAAGATCTAATTACAATGGTGTTAATAACAAAGGCCATGGGGTAATGTATAAAAATCCCCGCTCCCACTCAATTTTTAATCATTCATAATTAGGGTTTTGAATTTATCTATTTACATGATATAATACATGCAAAACGTCTTGATTTTAATCCAATTAAATTTAGAAAATATTTGGACTTTAAACGATTCACTAATATTTAATTTGAAGCACACTTTAAAAATAATTTACAAAAATAATTTTTTCGTTTCCCAATAAGTGCTCTCAAATTAATTAGTAATCAAATCCAATTAATTTTCATAATTTAATTAATATAAATCAAGTCATTTAATTAAATATCATGGACCCAATGCATAAATAATAATAATAAACAATTAATTATTCCATGCATCAGTTAAATAAATAAATAACAGACAGAAGCAATTTAAATGGCCAATGGATTCAGCTTTTAACATTTATATGCTCTAAGTAATGCGCAAGGGTCTATCATTAGCCGCGTCACATGGGATTATTTCCCATCAATCCCTCTTGATCTCCGGCCAAAACCTTGCCGCCGACAACTCTCCGGTCGCCGGAAAATCGCCGAAAAATTCCAGAAATTAAATTAGGCCTTAAAAAAATTCCAGAAAAATTCCGGAAAATTTCTAAAAAATCCCAGAAAATTCCTGAAGCCTAATTTAACCCTCTTGGACCTTCTTGAAACTTCATAGCATTCTTTAATGAAGATTACATGGCTTTAAAAATATTTACAATTTGAAATACAATGGAAAAAAAATTAAATTACATCATTGAACTTTCAAACGGCTAAATCAAAGCCTTAATTACATTCATCCAAAGATAAAATTACATTAATTTAACCTATAAGCTTCATCCATGACCCAACCATACATCAGCATTCATTCACAATTATTCATACATCATCATGTATCAATATATATCAACATATTAAATCATACATCAACATACATCAATAAAAATATAAATGAATATAATTTTGGATCCATGAATGATGATTTTCATAAAATCATGATCTCTAGTAATGAATCAAACCATACTCTGATACCACTGTTAGGAAACGTGCTAGTTTTAAAAACTTTTTGAAGGATTTAAATTCATAGATCTTGATTCATTACATAGAGGCAAGTTTTATGCAAAAATAAAACATGATGTATCATTCAATTAAAAGATTGAATACTTACATCAAGGTTTGAGTAAACCTTAGATCTCTCCTCTAAAGTGAATGTTCTCACTTATTGTAGATCCCTTAGCAAGATGCATTCTCCTTGGATCTCTATCTTCTTGGTAATTGTTTTGCCTTTAGGAATCACTCATATGCCTCCATGAATGACCTTGGAAAACTAGGCTTGTGGGAGCCTCCATTAGATGAGAACATAAACCCTAATTTTCTAGAGAGAAAAAAAATATTCCTTTTTCCTTCTCATAAAAATCACCCCCTAAAATATACATAGACCATGTATATTTATAGGCAACATAAAAATAAAGAAAAGGAAACAACAAATCATTCTCCATCTCTAATTCATATGTCTCAAATCTAATATGATTCCAATATCAAGTTGGGCTATGAGTGAGAATCCATTGGGCCTATTATTTTATTGGCTACAATGAATTAATAATTGGCCCGGTCCATGGACCCAATTAAATTAATTCATAAATTAATTTCTACTCCACTAAAAGAAATTAATTGAACTCCAATTAAATAATAAATAACCTCTAAGTCAATATTGCACTTTGACCCCTCTATGCATAATTAGTTATCGGATAAATAAAGCCATCAATCCGACTACTTAATTAATATATCTATTTTGGTACCTCTGATTATTTCTGGCTCGATCACAATAAAACATTTGTTTGACAAAAATAATAATTTAAATAAATAAATATATAATAAATCATTTTGTCTAAAAACACACGAAGGCCTTCGAATTTACTTTGTGATCAATCATAATCAATACAAAATAAATACAAGTAACAATGATGCAAATATTGAAAATATAACCCTCTAACTATTAATTACATAACTACCCAGAGTGTCGGTCTAATGATCCCGAAGAATCCGCCGAACAAATCAAAGTAATTATTAATTAATAAAAGAGTTTATACTTTTCTCATGCTTAAGAGTCAAATGCCATGACGGTGATAGGGAGTAATTGCATACGACGGCTCTCGCAATATATGTCAACCTAACGCGGATCCAGTTCAAGTCTTAATTAATTATGAGTCCATCCATAATTACCGACTATGAACAATTTATAATTACTATTTATATATCATGCATTGATTGCCATCACATACATATATATAAATATTTCTTGTAATTACATGGACACTATTAATTTCATAGTGAATCGAAACATAATACATTGAATTCACCAATTATATAAATCATAAATATTTCAGATATATCAAGAACATATGTCACTATAATCCAGATAGGAATTTGTTATGTCAGGGCATATAAATCCCAACAATAACAACTTAAAGGCAAATAAATAGAAAAAAAAACATACCAACTTAGTATAAGTAGTATCATTACCCACACAAAAAATAAATAAATAAAGAACATTTGCATTGGCAAACAGTCATCCCGAAGTGCATAACAATTTAAAGGTAAATAAATAGAAGAAGTATACCTTTTTTCAGACTTGTTGCAAACAGCAGCAACCAAATGACCATCACCATGTTCAACTCAATATAAGTAGTATAATTACCCCAAAAAAAATAATAATAAAATAAAATTTGCATAATACTTTGTATAATAGTTAAACACAATGTCCATCAACAATAAATTTTCCTTGTCTTCTTAATTAGACTCAATCAACTTAATTAATATCCTTACACCCATATATAGAAACATAATTTAATGGAAAACAAAGATATCACATCATGACGACATACAAGTTATAATAAGAACATTATAAATTACAAAGCCAATAATTAAAAAACAGAGCAGTAAGTAACATATAAGGATAGGTTAAAAACTGATGATAATTAAAACAAAAATAAACAACTGGTCAACATAGCAGTTTTAGGACAACAAATACGTAAAACATAGCAGTTAGTATAGTCATCCAACAAAAAAGTTAAACGTAGTTATTACAGTCATCCGGGAAAATAAAAGAAATAGCAGTTATATAGTCATCCAAGTTTTAAAACAAACACACGACTGAAGAAGTACATCAACCATGAACGTCAAGACCCATCACCCATCCCACTTTCCTATCATCAGGAATGCTAAGAAAGATATCCCCTCCACAATGGTGAGTCATGGAACATCCCTAGGGCCTTATTGTAATGGGAAGTATCAAGTCCTTCCAAGTTAGTCATAACCCTAATGCAACCTTGCACTTCTTCCCTATCCTTGTACCTTAGGGTGGGAGAGTTACAATCACCTGCCTCATGGGATGCTACATGATTCGAAGAGGTAATAGCTATGGCTTTTTCTATTGCCTCAAATTTCCTCTTTGAATTCTTAGTCATGGTTGCAATGACTGAAGACATTGTGGATGCAAAACTACCTTCCTAGCTTTCCTAGGTCAGGGTTCAAGTGATGGAGTCCTCTCTTTACCTTGTACATCATTTCCTTCCTCATTGATAGTATCATCAAGAGAATTAATGTGAGACATATTTGTGGGTACATGCGACGTTGGGTGAGATCTAGTAAAAGGACGGACTTGAGATCCTGTTGCATGTGTGTCTCCAAAGATGGTGGACAACTTGTCAAAGTGCTTAATTACAACCCTTCTTGCGAATTTTTTTCCCACATTTAAGAACCTACATGTTATAATAAGCTTATTATAAAAACATGTGTATCCCAAAAACAGTAAAAATAATACTACAACAGATCACAAACCTTTGACAACCTTACCCATCTCTCATCTTCCATTACAATCATTCCACTCTCAGCATTATAGCCCACACCCATCTCAGACAACAACTTTTTGAAATCCTTGTGTATTGCCCTCAATTGGTTGAATTTATTTCTAAGTTGTTTAATGGTGTATGTTTTTCCTGTTTCAACCATCATTCCTTCCATTATCTTTCTCCACCCAACATTGTTAAAAGTTGCATTTGTACGATTTCCTTGCCTAACCTCTTCCCCCATCAGCAAAATGAATTTTTCTTCCAAATAGTCATCCCAAATATTTTTCCCATCATCCATCGTGTCCATCAAATCTACTTGCACCTCATCACCCAAGCTCATTTCATTGGCATATTCATATAGATTATTGGGATTAAGATACATCTAACAAACAGAATGGTTATAAAAGTATAATCAGAAATATTACTGAAAACCAATCATAAAAGTTTTTTAAATGAAAAAAAATTACAAGTTAGAAGTCATTTTGCATACAGGTGGCATGATACACAATTTTACAATTTGATCTATTCAATTTTCAAATAGTTATACACAAAAGATGAGATTCAATACAAATAAAAAGTATAAGAAGAAATATTATTTTACTGAGAACCAATCATAAAAGATTTTAAATATAGGTAGGCATGATACACAATTTAAACAACTAGATCAATTGTGATTCAATTCAGTTTGCATATAGTTCTACAAAAAAACTGAGATTCAGTAACCAATGAAAATATATTTTTAAATGAAAAAAAAGTTACAAGTTGAAAGTCACTTTGCATATACGTAGCATGTTACACGGTTTTACAATTTGATCAATTAGTTTCAATTCTGTTTTCATATAGTTATACACAAAAACTCAAGTTCAGTACAAATAAAAAGTATAACAAAATATATTATAACTCTTAGTGAGAACTAATCAGAAAAGATTTTTAAATCAAAAACAGTTACAAGTTGGAAGTCAATTTGAATATAGGTAGCATGATAAACAATTTTAACAAATAGATCAATTGGGTTTCAATTCAGTTTGCATTTTGTTGTACACAAAAACGAAGTTTCAGTAACCAATGACAAAAGATTTTTACATCAAAAAAATTTACAAAATCGAACTAACCAATCTGTAATTTCAACACAAACAAGATCATTAGACACACATATAAAAAATGAATCGAAGTAACCAATTTGTAAATTTAGAAAAATGGAAGACAGAAAAAACCCACATTTATACACAGCATAAAACAAAAATTTATCCAATACAAATCTGTAAATTCAGAAGTAGTGTTGAAATTTTTACTTTTAGGACGAATAAAAGGCCAGTGACAATGTCATGCCATTGCAACACTCATACTCTATAAACGAACAACACAACACAAACACAAAAAATTTAATTAAAGTGACAAAAATGTTAAAAACAGTTGAAATTTCATTTCAGAAGTAGGGTATCCAAATCGAAGACACAAATAGACCCAAAGTTATACACAACATAAAACAAAATTGAATCAAAGTACCAGACTAGATTTTTCAGAAGAAGGGTTTCCAAATCCAAGATAGAAATAAACCCAAAATTATACACAACATAATAAAATATGAAACGAAGTAAGAAAACTTGAAATACTGAAATACGATTTTCAGATCCAAGCACAAATTCAACCCAAAACAAGACAAAAGATAATAAAATCTAAATCGAAGTACAAAACTTAAATTTCTGAAGTACGGTTTCCATATCCAAGCACAAATTGAACCCAAAATTATACACAAGATAAAAAAATATGAATCAAAGTAACAAAACTTGAATTTTCGAAGTACGGTTTTCAGATTCGAGCACAAATTCAACCAAAAATAAGACAGAAGATAATAAAATCTGAATCGAAGTGACAAAACTTAAATTTTCGAAGTACGGTTTTTAGATCCAAGCACAGAGTTAACCCAAAATGTTACACAACATGACAAAAAACTCATCCAAGTAACAAAACTGAAACCCTCACCACTAGGGTCGTTTCAGATCCAAGCAAAAAAACCAACACGAAATAGGAAAAAATTACCATCAAGACGAAAAAGAAGAGGAATAAGAACAAAATGGAGTTATATTTACCGATCGGAGCCTGTAAGAACGTCGCTTGTAGCGACGGGATGATTGAAGCTCGGTGCACAGTGGAATCGCCTCTGAATCGCCTTAGGGTTTGCTCTCGTTTACTTTCAACATTTGTAGCTAGATATGGAATAATTGCTTCAAGCATTTTAGGCCCAATGATTCCATTAATGGGCTACAGTGCAGGAAGCATTTTACCGCTACAGTTCTGGAAGCAACAAGAAGCATCATTTTCAAAAGTGTTTTAGCACTGTTTGGAAGCGTAGCAGTTTTCACCAAACATGCTTTGGGCCAAAATTTTGCTACATTAACTAGCCCGAAGCAAAAAACATGTGGCAGAAGCAGCCACCAAATAGGGCCAAAAGAATGCACAACTTATCTACAACAAAGGAAAAAGGAAGAGCAATTTATCATGTTCATTTCCTTTTACAAAACATGCATTTTGTGTAATTTTCTAACCTGGATTTATGATGTATGCCTTGAATCATTATATGTAATGAGGCTTTAGAGCCACTTGTTTATTTCATTCTCTTATGTATTAAACACAAATGTATGTATTCACACGCCTCTGCACGTTTAAAATTTATGTTAAACCATTTCATGTTGGAGGATTTGAGGTATGCATGAACTATTACATTTTCTGGTTTACAGCAAAGTATTCTGCAGTTTTCAAGTCATTTTAGTCGACTGATACAGGTATTCGGTCGACCGGTATCTTTTTGAGCCATTATAAGAGTTGAGACGGTAACCATTTTACTGTTGGGACCACATTTGGCAGATGGATATAAACTTTCGGTCGACCGGTAGTCGGTGTCCCATTTCTGTCGACCGATTTGTTTGCAGGTTGGCCAGCCTTACTTGGTCACTTGCTGAGATACCCCTCGGATCCGAGACACGGGTTGATCAGGCCCAGGCCCAAACCCGAGGGAATATCAAACAATTAATATTTTATAATGACACGGAATACAAAATAAATTAAGAAATGAAATTAAAGCTGGAAGGAACTAAAAATAGAATCCGCAAAATATTATAATTATTAAAATCCATCAAACCCAAACTCCAAAACTCCATCAGTTTACAACTTGGGAATCCATCTCTAGTGGACCCCTATTAAACATCCAAACGGAAGATAGAACAAATGTAATAAACGTCCAGAAATAAAACTATAGAGAGAGCCCTATATCGTCGGAAGAGTGAATAAAGACCTCTGCTCAGCACAAACACGTCTAAGCCTGGAACTGTCATGTACCTGAAAAATAGAAGTGGGTCAGGCCCACGCGCAAGTTCTATACTACTACAATCCAAACAGAGGCCCGATACGCATGTACATCCTAAACAATTCAACAATAGCTAATAGTCCGTAAATATATATATAGTCACACTAAAGGACTCTCACTGGACTACAGGCCGGTCTCAACCTGAATAGAGGTAACATGCTAAAACGCACACGAAGTGGGCATATGTACCTATACCTAAACAGGGTACACCTCCAACCATCGTAGCCAGCTACACATCCCGATGCATATACGCTCCCTAGCCATCGGTCCTGAGACTCAAGCTCATACCGAGGCACCATAACAGTACATATATAAAATCCATCCAAAACCCCTGGTATTGCCGCTCAACAAGTAGTTGCCATGACAATACAAATCCACGGAACTTAACTTTTAGTTAATCCCATCCTTATTCCAAGTAGGTGGGTAATGGTATTGTTTTAAAAACCAAACCCATCCTTAGTATGCCACCGTCCCATACCGGTGCCTACTTTCCAATCCTCCAGTAGTCAATAATACCAATAAATCAAGTATATATCAACTAAATTCCAACATCCAACATTTAATGTTAGCAGTGATAAAATAAGCATTGATAAACAGGGTCACAACAACAACATATACATGCCCAATTTAAGTTGTTCCCTTTAGTCTGATATAAAGACAGAATTAATTAAAACTTCCATTTAACACCTTACAAATGACATACAGATATGTAGGGTATGTATCACAAAATCCTAACCTCCACAGTTAATACTAACTGTGATAATGTAAGAATCAAAATAATATTCACAGTATGTATGTAGACATGCTCAAATTATAGTGTTCCACAAAACCGATCTAGTGTTAAACTCAAATCCTCCTAATATTTAAGTTCCAACAGTTGCTATTACAGAAGTTAAGATAGCTATCATCTAGACCCATCCTTCCAATAATTTATACTAGCAGTGGTAAGGAAAAACGTGAACCACAGAACCACAATGCATCCACAAACATGCTTAGTCTAGGTTGAACAAGCATACAACACTACTGTAACTACCAGTTTCATAGCAAAACAGATATCATTTTAGTTTGGTTTAATCTTCATTAATCCTGGAATCATTTAAGAGTGCAAAGAGTATGAAGCCTAAGGGAAAGAGTAAGGATAGAATCTTGCCTCAGAAACTTTTGTTCAAAGTTTCGACGTCGTCTTCTTAAAAAATCCAGGCGAGTTCCAAAACCCGGTTACTGTTCACGGGTACGAAACACTATTCCCGAACTCAAAATCTAATCTCCACCATTCAGATTGTGCAACACTGAGTCATGAACCTATCCTCTAAATTTCAGCTCAATCGGACCACGGACGAAGCGGGATCGGATGTTTGATGAAATCTAGGCAGAATGGAAAAAAACCTATGCGACCCAGTTACTGTTCACGAGTACGAATCACTGTTCCCGAGGTCAAACTCTGATCTTCACCGTTCAGATTGTGCGTTACTGAGTCGTGAACCTCTCTTCCAAAATTCAGCTCGATCGGACCACGGACGAAGCGGGATCGGATGTTTGATGAAATCTGGGCAGAATGGAAAAAAACCTGTGCGACCCAGTTACTGTTCATGCGTACGAATCACTGTTCCCGAGGTCAAACTCCGATTTCCACCATTCAGATTGTGCGTCACTGAGTCGTGAACCTCTCCTCCAAAATTCAGCTCGATCGGACCACGGACGAAGCAGAATCAGAGCTTTGATCAAACCTTGGCAGAATGTGAAAAACTGCATTTTTCCTTCTCCACTTCCACAAAACATATGCTTTGTTTAAAAAAACCCTACACAGACGTCTACCTTATACTTATAGAGTTTTCCTAAACTCTATGTTCATTTAAGTCCAACTCACAATCCTAACCGGCCCATCCAATTAACGTAGAAACCTACGACGGTTATAATATAAAACCCTAATTTACACTGTAATTAAAACCCTAGTTAGATGTATTTACCTAATTACCCTATTCACCATTAAATACTTAACAAATAATCTAATTGAACAAAATAATAATTAGTAAACCCAATTAAACCAAATAAGACACACATAAAATAAGATACACATAGAATAATTAAACCAATTACACTTAAACCATTAATGCCAATTAAATAATTAAAACACTAACAAGTAATTCCAATCAAATAACTAAACCAATTACACTTAAACCATTAATGCCAATTAAATAATTAAAACACTAACAAGTAATTCCAATCAAATAATTAAAAATAAATATCATTTAAATAAATTAAATCACCACAAAAGAAAACAATTAAGCACCTAATAAAAAAATAATGACACATAATCAAATAAAATGCACTTAAATAATAAATTAAATACCATTAAATACCAGGAATATCCTTTTTAAAATTAAGGGTATTACACTTGTCTATGCATGTTAGAATTAGGGGTATTACACTTGCCTATGCATGTTAGGATCCTTGTATCACTTCCATTTTATGTTATTGACCTAGTATAAATTGTTTTAGAACATGTATGACCTAGTTTGGTCCTAGTACTTGTTCTTTGAGTGTCATTTGTGCCAGCATGTTAGGATCCTTGTATCACTTCCATTTTATGTTATTGACCTAGTATAAATTGTTTTAGAACATGTATGACCTAGTTTGGTCCTAGTACTTGTTCTTTGAGTGTCATTTGTGCCAGAATGTACCGCTTAACCTTTATTACCCTTTCGTATTCGTCTTCTACTTTAGTCTCGTAATTTCTTAGGAGGTCACTTTGTTATCTTAGAGGTAATGCTTAAATAACCTCTTCTCTTTTCTTGTTTTTGCTTTTTGGATTTGATATCGGGTCAATTTTTAGGTTACTCGTTAAAGTACCTATATTATGAAAAATCAGGCGGTCACGGTGATGCTATCTCAACCAAAAAGTACCAGATCAGAAAGTCACAAGAATCTGCATTTATATATTATTGTTAAACTTCTCATTACTCTTTCCCAAGTCAATTGAACACAAGCAAATCAAGCTATTAGTATACAATAAATTTTTTTAATATAGTGCATACAAGAGTTGGTGAACAGAATTGACTACATAAACATGTCTACACGACAGATATAATTATTTTGCAGCTGCAGTTGAGTTGGCAACATGTTATTTGGAAGTTTCCAATCAAAGCAATGCACCAACTGTGCCACCACTAGCCGGACTATTGTGAGACCCAATTGCATCCCGGGGCAACTTCTCCGGCCAGAGCCAAATGGGAGAAGTTGGTAGCCTAGTCCCTTGACATCTATACTACTTCCAGCAAACCTCTCTGGAAAGAACTTCTCAGGATCAGTCCATGTATTTGGATCTCGCCCGATTGCCCATGCGTTTATGGTGATCCGAGACTTCTTGGGTATGTGAAAACCATCGACCGTGCAATCTTCTGTGGACTCATGCGGAAGCAGTAATGGCGCAACTGGATGGAGCCTGAAGGCTTCCTTCATCACCATGTCAAAGTACTTCAAGCTCTCCAGGTCTGATTCCTCCACTAACCTGTCCATGCCCACAACTTCCTCCAACTCTTTTTGTACCTTTTTCGTTACTCGCGGATGCTTTAGAAGTTCGGAGAGTGCCCATTCGATTGTTGTTGCTGAAGTATCCATTCCGGCTACAAGCAAGTCCTGCAAATAATTTTAGAATCACTTGACATCTTTTTGGGACAGAAAGTACTAAAATTAGTAGAAAAGTTCAATCAAATTAATTACCACCATAAGGGCTTTGACGCGGGAACGATCCATAGGATACTCAGCTTCTTCAGATCCCATGTGTGCCAAAATGATATCAACAAAGTCCTTGGTTTGGCCTTGGTCCCTAGCTCGAAGATGATCATCAATGATCTTCTCAAAAAATTGATCAAACACCTCGCTAAGAGCCTTAAAGCGCTTATCGAGTCCCTGAAGATCGAGTGCTCCAACATAGGGGAAGTAATCGGCAATGTTGGGAGTGACTGCCAACTCCATGCCCTCTTCCATCATAGCTTTGAACCCCCTCTCATCGAAGTCCTCATCCGTGTACTTCTTCCCAAACATCATCCGGCAAATCATTTCCGCATTCATGGATGAAACCTTGGCACTAAGATCAACACCACCACCATCCTGAGCCGCCGCCGCCTCTTTGATTGATTTTATCAGAATTCCGACCTCTTCCCTCCTCATAGACATGAACGAATTTATCTTAGCGCTGCTAAACAACTCTAAGGTGCACAATTTGCGCATACTGCGCCAATAAGGGCCGTGTTCAGCAAAAATCAAGTCCCTTTGCCCATAAGTCACATACTTAAGAGCCTGAATAATTGGCCTACCAGCAAAAACATGGTCATGGGTCTTGAGAAATTGCTTGGCTGCTTCTGGGGATGAGACAACGATGTTGGAGACGAAGCCGAAGCGCGTGTACATGATGGGACCATATTTTTTGGCTAGCCGATGGAGATCTCGGTGAGGGAACTTCCCTAACATATGCAGGTGTCCCAAAATTGGGAGGCCTCGAGGGCCTGGAGGTAGTCTCCTCCCATTCTTCTTCTTTCTAATTGTAAACCATATTGCTTGCAGAATATAAGCAGCTAGAGGAACCAATGCAAGCATTAACCAAGTTGAAGCCATGGTTAATATGATAGAATTACACAGGCTTGTGTCGGCCATTCTCATGCTCAAATGGTCAAGATCTCTTTGCCCACGTCTTCATAATATATCTGTCTCTCTGCCAGTCTATAGAGTCAGAGCTCTTTAACTACTTGAAAGTTCCATACATATCTTGATAAAATCTCTCTCTCCCTCTCTCTGTCATTTAAAAGTAGAGAAGACAAATTTAAAATATCTTTGGTACAGACATAAAATCTCTTTGATATAGACATAAAATATCTTTGATATAGACGTAAAATATATATATATATATATATATATTTAAAATTTAATTTTTTTTTAGTATTTGATTATCGTAAAATATTTAAGAAAAAAAAAAATTTAATTTAAAAAAAAAAAATTATTTATTAATTTTGAATAAATTATTTTACATGTTCAATCCGATAATTTTGATTTTAATTTCGAAATAGACCTTTATCAAATATTAATATTAAAAATAATAAAATATAGAGAAAGAAAAAGTAGTTGTGGTCATCAATAGTGGTACCGCTGCAGTAAATAGCTTGGGCACTAGCATGGTGCTTCTGGACTTTGAGTTGATTGGGGTTGAACAAAATCAAAATTCTACCAAGAAGTGGAGTAGGCATAGTTATTACATAACTGCCAAGAGGAAGCTATATGTCTGGGGCCTGGAGGTAGTCACCTCCCATTCTTCTTCTTTCTAATTGTAAACCAAATTGCTTGCAGAATATAAGCAGCCAGTGGAACCAATGCAAGCATTAACCAAGTTGAAGCCATGGTTAATATAGTTGTGGTCATCATGCTCAAATGGTGGATCTAGATTCTAGGAAAAAAGTATTAAGAAAAACAAAGAGAGACGTGGTCAAGATCTCTATGCCCACATCTTCATAATATCTCTGTCAGTGTGCCAGTATAGAGTCAGAGCTCTTTAATAACTAGAAAAGTACGTATCTTGATAAATCTCTCTCTGTCTGTCATTTAAGAGCAGAGAAGACAAATTTAAAGTATCTTTGACATAGACGTAAAATATCTTTGATATAGACGTAAAATAAAAATATTTTTTGTTTATTTTTAGTGTTTACTTATAGTAAAATATTTTTTAAGAAAAAAATATTAAAATTTAAAAAAAAATAATTTATTTATCAATTTTAAGTAAATTATTTTACATGTCCAGTTTGATGAATTCGATCTTAATTTCGATCTAAACTTTTACCGAACACTAAGTAAAAATAAAAGAATAATATTTTTTAAAAATAATATTTTTCGTCTAAACAAACGGAGTCATTATTTCAATTGTGTGCATTTTCATCTGATCATGAAATAGTCTGCCATTAAGCATGTAGATGAATACGACAGGATTGTTGAAAAATAAGGGCACAATATATATTATTAAAGGTAAATAATACTAAATTAATATATATGTATTTATTCATAAATTTTAGATAATATATAATTCATTTATATAAAGGGAGGAGATATTGACACTCCACTTTTCTACACTCGCACTATACCTTTTTTTTCCTTCTAAATAAAATGAAAAAAAAAAAAAAAAAAAATCTCTAAACTCATTAATACACCATCTCTTTTTTTAAAATACCATAACTACCCTTTATACTAAAAAGTTTACTTCTTTTAACTTTATTTTTTGATGTGATAAGTTTACTTCTTTTAACTTTATTTTTTTATTTTTATCACATCAAAAGAGATAATTTATTCAACATACATAATTTATTTTGGGTTTTTTTTTTTTTTTTTTTTTTTTTCAGAGGGAGAGTGGTTTTATCAAAAGAGATAATTTATTCAACAGAGATAACCTTTTTTCTTTTTTTCTTTTTGGTCCCAAAAGGTAATTTTTTTCAGCAAATATGACTTTTTTTGGGGTTTTTTTTTTTTTTTTTTTTTTTTTGTGTTATACAATTTTTTATTTTTTATTTTTTTTGTCAAAAGAGATAATTTTTTTAATATAGAGATATATATATATATATATATTTAATCTTGTCAAAAGAGAAACTTTATTCAATTGAGATAACGTATTTTTTTTTTAGGGACTGTCAAAGAGACCAAAAATAATAAAGACGGGAGACTGAAGGGTTAATATCAATTATAACTTAGAGGGTAGTTATGTAAATTAAAAATAAATAATTATGAAGTTAGGGTTAAAAGAGTCATTTTCTTTTAAATTGAAGTGCAAACATAGAAAAGTGAATTGTAAATATCACCTTTCTAGATATATATATATATATATATATATATATATATATATATATATATTGATATGAAGTTAGAAACAATTGTGACAAATAATATAGGAGTTAAAGAATAAATATTACATATAGCAATACATCTGTTTTGAAGAAATTTTAAACCATTTTTTTAACAATTATACGTATGATATTATTATTATTATTTTGTCATTTCAAAGGCACAAAGGTCAAGCCAACGGCAATACAGAGGCACAAAGCCAAATCTAAAAAGGCATACAAATCATAAAGCAAAGTAATAAAATGAAGAACAGGCTCCAGATCTGTGGAGAAAACATAACCTAAAACTCTGCAACGAAACTACCATGGGAGAAATGTAGCAAACTGGAGTGACCCAAATGTCAGGCCAATATGATATTATTATTAGAAAAGTTATATTTCATTATTCAAAAGACATTTGAAAGTATCCCATACATGGTCGAACTTATAATTAAAAAAGTTATATTAAAATTATAAATACTCTTAAGAATTATATGACTTTGAGTATTCATTGAAGTGTCAATATTTGGATGTGATGGTTTTTAACCACGGTGAAAAATGCTTTCCACCATAGTTTTGGCCCATTCTAGTAACAGCCGTGGTAGTAAATGGGAGGTTTTCTACCATAGTGCCTGACCGTGGTAGAAAATCAGTTTACTACCATGGTGCCTGACCATGGTAGAAAGTCAGTTTACTACCAGTGTTTAATCGTGGTAATATGTGTTGGATTATACCACGGTTTTAGCCCATGGTAGAAACTATACGTTTTTAAATATATATATATATAATATGGTGAAGTGCATTAAGCCCCCCTAAACTATACCCCAATGAGCAAAACCCCCCCCCCCCCCCCCCCCCCCCCCCGGAATTTCAAAATGAGCAAAAAAACCACCTTAAACTATTCAATTTATTGCACTTTACCCAATCCGGCAACCGACCAATCAATTTCCTTGCACGTGAGAGGCCACATAAATGACCATGCGACCCTTATCCAATTTAAAAGACTATAATACCCATGAAACACCATTGGACCTTAACAAGCCCTAACTAATTCACTCATTGTCTTCTTCCTCCGTCTTTCCAAATCATTGTATATTGCATCCCCTCATTCCAAAAATAAAATAAAATCAAAAATTAAAAAATAAAAACCCATTTACAAAACAAGAAGCTTGGATTCATTCTTGCCGGCCGTTCTTCTCCACCACCGCATTTCTTTCTCACGGCTGAGCCCTCGCCGGTCTGTCACCGCCACTGCACCACCCGCCGTCCATCATAGCCAACATCATCCAAAGCCGAAACCGCCAAGGCCATTTTCATCCTCTCCACCGTCCGAAGCCTCCTTACTCGCCGTGAGTTCGGCCGCCGTTCAAACCCTCCAAGCTCGCCACCACGAGTCATTCACGGCTGAGTCAACCCCAGCCACCGGCAATGTACAACGGTGAGATCGAGCAGCCTAGGGACAACACGACGTTGGTGAATTGAGACTCATAAACAAATGACAAAGCCCCAACCAACAACCAACAACCAAAAAATCAAAAGGCGACGCCCCAACCAGTCACTTGGCGACTATTTTATACTGACTAGCACAACAATCCACTAACAGAAGAACGCGATGAACCGCTAAAATAGAATGGCGAGGGCAAAGCTTGCACACAATGATCGTAAATGATTTGGGGTTCAGATTTCTTTCTTTCTACTCTGCCAATGTGAAGCTGACAATTGGGTATAAAAGCTTTTACGGTTTAATCATTGTTCTAAAACTCATCGGTTGGATGAAACCGCTGTTGTTAGGTAGGCGATGGCAATCTCGGTGGTAACCCCTTCAACTACTCGTTGTGTGCCAATTTTTGTCCCAATTGTGATTTTGGGTGTTTAAGTGTAAGTAATATTAGAGTTGATCTTTGATTCAGCGTGGTGGTGGAAAGGAAATCGGCGTCTTTATCATATTGATGTATGAAGATAGAGAACGAGTTAGGGCATGTTTGCTAGGGATTGGTCCAACCATCAGTAAGGGCATTATGGTCTTTTAAATAAATATTTGGCATTTTATTTTCTTCAATATGACGCGGCACCATTTTATGAAGGGTAAATTAGACTTTTCTAATTTCCAGTAGCTAGAAATGATCGACCTGAAAAACATTCTCTGTCCTAAGATTGCACCAAGACCATAGTTGAGGGGGTTATTTGTAGTAGAGGGGGATTAATTGCACTTGGGTTATAGTTGAGGGGGGTTTATTGCACTTTACCCTATATAATATAGCCCCTAATTAAGCAGTCATTTTCCTTTGCTAACCCTAATGAATCAAAAATAGCAAGTAAAAAATTATGCAGAATCAAAGCCCAAACCAACTTAAAACTTGCCAACCTTAAGCCTATTAGGGCCTTTCACTGGAAAAAGGTCATAATGGGGAAATGGGATGATCCAGATTTATCGCAGCTTTTATAATCATAACCAACCAAACGCATGGTTTTACAGAAATACCATATACAAATGTGGACCCAAAGAACATATTGATAACAAGGCAATCCTCTTTCCCCTTATCTTTTCCTTCTATGTACCAAGGGATTCTCTTTACTCTTACAACAGGCTGTAGCACAACGGCAACACCATGGAGTTTCAATTGGTAGAGGGGTTGATCCTCTAACTCATTTGTTTTTTGGCTGATGATGCGCTCCTTTTTTGCCGGGCAAATGTCTTTGAAGCTATAACTTTAAAATCTATTTTATCCATTTTATCTATATCTGGTATTTTCTTTAGCTTTACTTCTTATGAAGAGTTAAAAGAAAATTTACAACATATTCTGGGGATTTAAGAAGCAGGGTGGGTTAACAAGTACCTGGGGTTACCTACTATTTTTGAGCGCTCTAAATTAGCATCATTGA